TCTTTATTAATATAAATACAAACTTACCTTTAGCTTTATCGTGACTATTAGAAAGCGAATTTTTTTGGTTTTTTAAATTATATTGAGCGTTGTCAAATAATTCTTGTATTTTATTCGGATTTTTTGTTGTTGTATGAAACTTATATTTATTTTTTTGAAATAATAATCTTTCTTTGGCTGATACTTCAGGATCTGTGGTGAACACATAGTCTTTTTTTGTCAACTTATTAAGTTTATTTTCGGCTTCGTCATATGAATCGAGGAAAGTTAAATGAAAAAATTATTTACAACATTAAACATTTAAAAATAAAAAAAAATTACATATGCATTTTAATTGTTTTATTTATTTATTAATTCTTTTATTTCTATTATTATCATTGAAAATTTGTATACCTGCAGTACCATATATACTATTCATAATATTATGAATATGTGTATGAATATTTACTTCATACACTGGCCATGACTTCTGTGCAGGTTTACATTCCTTGATCATTGTATCTATTTGTTTCCACAGATCTTTATTATTAAATTTATTCGGAGGATAATAAGTAAATAATTTGTCACGAACTTCGTCGAAGTATATCCATTCTGAAGGCACAATTTCGATGCTTTTTAAGTGGCCTTTTGCCTCCGTAAACACTACCAATTTATAGCTTGGTGAATTCATCTAAAAACGTAAGACAAATTAATATAATATAAACAATATAAATATACAATAGATTTGATACAATATACAATAGATTTGATCAAAATGATAAATTGATAACATAAGTAATAAGCTCTTATTCTTTCTTGTCTTTTTTGATTTTGTTAAATAAAATGCACAAAATATCACAAAAACTTTCTTGAAAATTTACGTGCAATGATAAAATAACTATTTAATTTAAGTAAAATAAATTTACGATGTTACAAAACAGCAAATACACGAAAGAGGTTAGGTTATGTTAGGAGAGTAGTCCATCATGATAAAAAAAATGTTTGCTCTAATTACGTTAACTAACATTTGCAATGTATATACGTATTCACACTATATCATC